CCTAGACCCTTTTCTGATGAAGGGTCTAGGCCCGAAACGTCAGCCTTTCTGCTCCTATGATGCTGCTTGGCCTGCTGTGTTCATCCAGCCCTGCACCTTGTTGTCTCGGATTCTCCAGCATCTGCAGTTCCTACTATCTCTGGAATAAACCCTATTTGCTGTTCAGAGATTGAGCATATGTCCTGTCTATAACATTGTATGGACATCCTTCACCAAACAGCGTTGTTAGCTTAAACTAATAACAGCTAGAAGAATTGGTGGTGTGAATCTACTGAAGGGATCCCAGATGGTTTCAGTGGGATCCAACATCAAATAAATTAGTTTAAAGATTAACAATATTTTTATTTGGCTTAATTTTGTGTATACTTGAAAGTGCTGGAGAAACAGAGTTATACTATACTACAGGTTTATAGGCATTAAGAACAAAAATTCAGTAAACTGTCAGCAGACCAAGCTAAGCACTAGTGTTAATGTTTTGGGTCAATGACGTTTAATCAGAAATATTAAATTTTTAGCCCTTCGCAAATACTGCCTCACCTGCTGAATGTTGCCAGCGCCTTCCATTTTTTTTCGGATTTCCAGCATGCAGTGCATTTGCTTTTTATTTTTATGAAATAGAAGTAACTATCTTTTGGTAAGTAGGCTTATTAATGTTATGAATTGCAGCATTGACCTCCCAAACAGGCTTACTTTGAACTGATTGAGCGTTTTTGGTTTTCATTGTCTCTCCTAAAGACATGACTAATGAGGAAAATCAGGCAGATACACTATGGAAATAATAGGACAGAGAACTTGGTTAATAATATTGGAAATACCTTTCCAGTTATTAACAAGAGCACCTTGCATTAAAATTGAGCCTGTGATGTAGAAGAACTTCACAAGTTCTAATACTGGAGAATGATCAGGGAAAATTTGACGTTGGGAGATACCAGGACAGGTAACCGAAAGCTTAGCTTTTTTTGTCTTTGCTACAGCCCCTGTTCACTTTGGCAACGTTCCTGTACTTGTCATGGATCTTGATCAAATCCCCAAGCTTTTTCCTGCTCAGGCAGTTGTGAACTATGTTATATAAGATAGGTAATACCTGAAAGACAAGAGAAATGGAAAGATTTTGTGGATGGAATTCCAGAGCTTAAGACCTAGACAGCTGAAGGCATGGCCACCAGTGGTAGATCAGTGAAAATCCTGGAGTTGGAGTACATTTAGTTTGAATTAACATTTAATGCTTGTATTCACTTTAACACCTGTCCAGACAAAATGCTGTATTATGAATAAATTGCCACTTTCTATCTATGGTATCTTTGTGAAGTAACAGCTATCTTTTATGTATGAGCTTGATTTCCGAGTGTCAGCAGGTTATTTGACTGGGTTTGCCAACTTAACAGACTAAAAGCAAACTTAGAATTCTTCTGGCCTACAGGACTGATGCTGTGTAGTGTAGTCATGAACTGAACCATTGAGAGAGTTACTGATAAACTAGATGTTTAATCAATTCCAAATTGAGCTACCTGATTGAACTCCACATTGGAAGCAATGGATAAAAGAAAGATTCATCCAAAAGAAAGGAAAGATCCTGCTGATAAGGGTGGTGCAGTTGTGTCTGGGATGCCGACTTCTACCTTTGCAGAGTCTGAACACCAACTCTTAAACACTTACTCCTATCTTCCTCTGGACCATGATCCCAATGCCAAACATTAAGAAATTGCTTCTGGGACTGAAATTGGCCTTGTGTCCTCGAGCGATCTACCCACTATAGTCCCTCATAGTCACCCTAGCCCTGCACAGCTTGCTTCTACAGCAATTCTGAGAAAAAGTCTTATTGGACTCTGTTATTAACTCTTTCTCTATCTACAGATTCTGCCATACCTGCTCTGTTTCTCCAGCACTTTCAGTTTTAAGTCAGTAGTATCTGTTGTTAGCTTGCCTAATTCAAGTATCCTCTGCTTTCTGGTTGCACTGTAAGATGATGGTAAACAATATTTTTGGCTTTAAGAACTGGGAGGGAGAAGGGATTTGAAGCAAACAAAGCCAATGGGGAAATGCAGTTCACTATTTTGAACTCCCTCTCATTGCTGCAGGTATGAAAAAGAGGCACTGGTAAAAGAAGAGATGCCCAAGCTTGCTCCACAAGAACAAGTGGTTGCCATTGCTGACCTCAAAGAGCAAGTAATCTCAACTGAGGAGCAGAAGAACATTAAACAGCTTGTAAGTCAACTATGAGGGAAATTTACAAATCAAAGGACATGGTTAATAGTATCAGTCATGCTTTTCGAGTTTTTCAGTGCTAGTTTTCTCTTTTACACGTCCTAAGACTGTACAGTGGTGCTCAGACATGACACCTTAGCAAAGAGTGCTGAAGCATTTGTCAGATATCTTACCACTGGCTGCACAATTTGGAAATTCAGTCATCCTGTGCTGCTCTGTACACCTCTCAGTTGACAGGTTATTGATGAAATGTTGATGAGAGGTGAGTACCAGCACCCAAGGACTCACTGGCTTGTGCACTGTTTTATTAGAAAAATGATGGACTGTCTGTTTCCCAGCCTGGACTAAGTTACTTTAATCTGTCAAGGGTAGCAAATGGGGCATTGTGAATGGCCTCAATATACAAGGCGTTATGAAATTAACTGGATCATTACTCTCATTGATGTCCATTGACCTGGGCTGGAAAGTCTGTCTATGGATGTCAGGTAAAAGGAGGCATGCTTGCAATCATCTTTTATTTGGTTTAATACCGTTCCTACAGTCATAATATTGGCTTACACATGAACAGTGCCTGCTTGAGTGAGGAATGACGGGGCTACTATATTTGTACCTCAGTGAGAGTCTGTACTTTCTTGTTCCCTTCATCAAAAATCTGTGTGTTAGTTAGGGTCTGTAGGAACTGTTGTATTGGTCAAATGGTGGTGCAATGTTTTCAATTTCTAGATGGCTTGAAAACTGCAGTTATTGGAAACCTGATACTGATGCCCCAGGTAATCAGAGCCAATTAAGATTTCAACAATGAGTTTCTTCTCAACTCTTAACAGCATTGTTCTGTTTTAGGTCACATTGTTGTGCCTTGGTTGCTTATAATTGGAACTCTTACCCAGTTATTCCTCCGCTTAACGTTGTCTGTTGGTTCCTTGTTGAATTCAGCAAAGATGGAAGCAAAACTTAAATGTTTGTCCGTACTGATAAGTATGGAAATTCAGTATTCTTGCCTTTGCGATTATATTTGTGTTACAAAACAAAATGCCTTGTTTGTGAAATTCTGTACACAGACAATTATGTATTTAATGTTTTTGATCACACTATTCCCTTGTGACTCAACCCTTATTGAAGTCAAAATCACAAAGGACATCAGAGCTTCAATACAAGTCATGGTAAGTTGATCACAAAGACTGGCTGGTCTGCAGGTGGTTAAAAAATTAATATAAAATAAACCTTGCGTTGTCTAGATATTTCCGAGTTAACCTGTCCTATGGTGATATTTCACGCCTCTGGAGCAGGCAGGACTTGAATTCATGTCTCTTGGCTTAGAGCTAGGGACATTGCCTGTCCACCACAAGAGCCCTATTATCTTGCATTTTCTATGCTTTACAATCCTTGCATTCTGCACATATGTACTGAATTTTACATACATGTTTGCCCATAATACTGATGTGCTGTGACATGATATACTGATGATCTTCCAATATCACGTTTGTGATGATACTATGGCTTTAAGTTGTGTATTTTGTTCTGGTTTTTTTTTGAAGAGAGGTTTTGAGACAAAGGTGCCGAGTTTCTTCCAATCCAATAAAGTAAACAGCTTGTGAGGCCCAAGGATTTTTTATGTTAGAACAATAGAAGCAGCACAAATGGGTGGAGTAAGGCTCCCACAGAACTAGGGTTTTAGTTTAACTCTCAGTTGTTGGCGTTTGGAGTTGACATTGTAAGCTGTTTTGTCTCTCTCAGCCATAGCAAAAAGCTGGAGTTTTCTCTCTCTGCCAGAATTTTCTCTTGGTGCACTTTTCTCGTGGACTGGAGAAACTTCGCATGTGAGACGATCTATTTTAGTGAATTTGCCTTTGCCAAGCCTGTGTTTATGGGATGTTACTATGTTGTAACATTTACTGTTTAGTAGTTAAATAGTCTATGATTCTGTTAAGTTTTCCAGTAGAGTTAAAGTTGTACTGATTCTTCTTTCTTTTATTTGAATTTTAACTGAGTTTAAGAATAAAGTGTGTTTTGCTTAAAGCCGAGTAGCGTGACCAATCAAATTATATCTGGAACACGGCACTTTACATTTGCCTTCAAATATATCAATGAGTCAGCTTAGACCATAACTTCTATCTTATTTAAAGGGGGTTTGGTCTTGCCCATAACACATTGTGATGAGACATGGGTCACATAGTACTGAAGAATTGAATGAACTTTTATTACAGCACCTGATATTAACATGTGTACATTACAGTCGCAGATACTGGTGTGTCTGGGTCAAGCAAAGCAATGCAAATGTACTATGGCAGGCTTCCCTGAGTGTGTCAAGAGAATAGCGTTCAGTTGTTCATTCAGAAAAAGGCTTCTTTTATGGCACCTTCCAAACCCATTGCCACGAACATCAGGAAAGGCAGTTTTCAACTGATGTATACCGTGTACATAAGGAGCAAGAGGGTAGCTAGGGAAAAAGTAGCTCCACTCAAGGACAAAGGAGAGAATTTATATGTGGAGCTGGAGGATGTAGGTGAGATCCTTAATGAATACTTTGCATTGGTAGTCACAAAGGAGAAGAACATGGTGGATGGTGAATACAGAGAAAGGTGTGTTGATACTCCAGGCCATGTTGATGGCAAAAAGGAGGTGGTATTGGGTGTTTTGAAAAACATTAAGGCAGACAGGTCCCAGGACCTGATGGAATCTATCCCAGAGTACCGAGGAAGGTGAGGGAGGAAATTGCTGGAGCCTTGTACGAAATCTTTGTATCCTCTTTAGTCATAGGAGAGGTCCCAGAGGACTGGAATAGCCAATATTGTTCCTTTAAGAAGGGCCGCAGGGATAATTACAGGCCAATAAGCCTGTAATTATGTCATTGGTAGGGAAATTATTGGAGAAGATTCTTGGGGACAGAATTTTCACACCTTTGGAAAAATATAGACTTATTAGTGATAGATAGCATGGCTTTGAGTGGGGGAGATCGAATCTCTCAAACTTAATTGAGTTTTTCAAGGAAGTGACAAAAATGATTAATGAGGGTATGGTGGTTGATGTTGGCTACAGAGACTTTAGCAATGCCTTTGACAAGGTTTCTCATGGCAAGTTGTTACAGAAAGTGAAGTCACATGGGATCTGCAGTGAGCTGGTACGATGGATTCAGAACTGGCTTGGTGACAAAAGACAGAGCAGCGATCGAAGGGTGCTATTTCTGGCTGGAGATCTATTACCGATGGTGTTCCTATATATATATATATATAAATCATTTTGAGGAAAATGTAAGTTTGCAGACGACACCAAGATTGTGGGAGTTGGGGATAGTGAGGAGGGTTGCCAGAGGATACAGCGGGATATAGATACACTGGAAATTTGGGTGGAAAAATGGCACGTAGATTTAATCCGGACAAATTTGTATCATTTATTGTCACACGTATTCAATATAAAATGCAGTGAAAAATGTGTACCGTTGCCATGCATAGGCACAATTCACATTAACTTAGAATAAAATAAAAAATAAAGAAAGCTAACTTAAAGAGAGCCCAACTTTTCCGTCTCCGCTGCTGCAGTCCCGCTCTGGGCTTTCCAGCTCATGCCATGCTGCTGCCAGAGTCCCACTCCAGGCTTCCTAGCCCATGCCATGTCACTGCCAGGGGCCCATTCCACGAGGAAATGAGAGGCCTGCTCCAGGCTTCACATGCCGGCCAACTCTGTAGCCATGCTGCTACCACTCTAGGACCCACTGAAGCTGCCTTCCAACTGAAGAGCTCTCTTCATCAGGTTAGTTTTGAGAAAGAAGAAGGGGGAGAAGGGAAAAGAAAAGCTAAAAGCGGACAAAGAGGACAAGCCCAGGCACAGGACCCTGGACAAATGCAATGTTTGGAAGGTCTAATGCAGGAGGGAAGTATACAGAAAATGGCAGAAACCTTAGAAGTATTAACTTACAGAGAGATCTAGGTGTACTGGTCCACAGTTCCCTGAAAGTGGCAACACAAGTGGTTAAGGTGGTCAAGAAGACGTATAACATTCTTGCCTTCATCTTTTGGGGCATAGAGTATAAAATTGTCAAGTCATGTTGCAGCTGTGTAGAACTTTAGTTAGGCCGCATTTGGAATATTGCATACAGTTCTGATCGCTGCACCGACAGAAGGATGTGGCAGCTTTGGAGAGGGTACAGAAAAGGTTTACCAGGATGTTGCCTGGTTTGAAGGGTATTAGTGATGAGGAGAGATTGGACAAACTTGGTTTGTTTTCACTTGAATGGCAGGGATTGAGAAAAGTTTACCTGATAGAAGTTTACAACATTATGAGAAATATGCATAGAAAGGATAGTCCGAGTCTTTTTTCCAGGTAGAAATGTTAATTACTAGGAGATGTGGATTTAAGCTAAAAGGGGGAAAGTTTAAAGAAGATGTGAGGGGCGAGTTTTTACACAAGGTGGTAATTAAGTGCCTGGAATGTGCTGCCGGAGGAAGTGGTCAAAGCAGGTACAATAACAATGTTTAAGAGGCGTCTTGACAGATATATGAATAGGCAGGGAATAGAGGGATACAGACCTCATAGAGGCAAAAGGTTTTTAGTTTAGTAAGGTGTCATGTATTGGTACAGTCTGGGTGGGCCAAAAGGCCTGTTCCTACACTGTGCTGTACTGTTCTTTGAAATTCTCAGGAGTAGTGGTTTCCGATATAAGGCATGTGTTCAGATTTGTTGTCCACACATGTGCAGAACCAGATATTTGTTATGGGAAGAGATTGTACATTCGTAGTAAAGCATTTGAAATAGTTGTTGAACTGGCCTGCCAGTCCGCCTGGACACATGTTCACACTTGAATGGAATTTAAAATGAATATTTTTGGAATTTTTTTTCCCTTGTACTACTTAGCTAGGTCTCCGATTCTAGGTGCAAATGGATAAATTTCGTGGCAAAAGAGGGATTCCTCTGCTAATTCAGTCGATGAAATATCTGAACCTAAAGGAAAAAAGAGCACGAGCTGTTCAGAGAAAGTACAATGAGAGCCATCTGTCCTTTGGATT